AACGAGCTCTCCGGCGACTTCCCGGTCAGCGTGACTCAGTTGACTCGGTTGACTCGACTCGACCTCTCGTCCAACAACTTCTCTGGTTCGATTCCGTTTTCGGTCAATAACCTGACCCATTTGAGTGGACTGTTTCTGGAGAATAATGGATTTTCGGGTTCGCTGCCGAGCATTCCTGCACTTAATTTAACGGGCTTCAATGTCTCGAATAACAAGCTTAATGGATCCATTCCTGAAACCCTATCGAAATTCTCTGCTGCATCATTCGCCGGAAATTTACAACTCTGCGGCGGTCCATTGCCGTCGTGCAACCCGTTCTTCCCCTCCCCAGCTCCGTCACCGACGTCCTCCGTGAAACCACCACTAATTCCCGTCGAGAAGAAGTCCAAGAAGCTCTCCACCGCCGCCATTATCGGAATTGTCGTCGCCTCTGCTGTAGTCGCATTTATATTGTTGTTCCTCCTCATATTCTGCCTCCGAAAGCGCGAGCGTAGACAGCCGGCGAAGCCGCCGAATCCGGTGGTTGCCGCTCGATCCGTGCCTGTTGAAGCCGGCACGTCGTCTTCGAAAGACGACATTACCGGCGGATCCGTCGAGGCTGAGAAGAACAGATTAGTTTTCTTCGACGGTGGGGTTTACAGCTTCGATTTGGAGGATTTGTTGAGGGCTTCGGCGGAGGTTCTGGGCAAAGGAAGCGTCGGAACGTCGTACAAGGCGGTGCTGGAGGAAGGAACCACCGTCGTAGTGAAGAGATTGAAAGACGTTGTGCTGGCGAAGAAGGAATTCGAAACGCAAATGGAAGCTCTGGGAATTGTGAAACACGAGAATGTGGTTCCTCTCAGAGCATTCTACTATTCCAGAGACGAGAAATTGCTCGTCTCCGATTACATGTCCGCCGGCAGCCTTTCCGCTTCACTTCACGGTATGAACCCTAATTTCTCTCCTACATTTTTCACCATAAAATTTAATTTCCTTCCTTCTCTTATTAACCATAAGTTATTTCGTAGCAACATTTTGTGTTGAATGAAATTAGATTCTTATGGTTTCTCGGTCGTTTTCCCGGAAAATTCTTGTCCTGATTGAATTTGCAGAGCCCAGTTCAAGCAATTTTGTTTAATAATGCCATATTTTGTTCTGCTTTTCCTTGTTTTCTGATTTGCTTTCGTTCCTTTTAAGAAAAGGGCTTTTTTTGAGTTCTCTGACTGAGTGGTGGTAGTTATGGCAAAAGTGGTAAAAGGGAAAAAGAAAGAGAATCAAAATTATTGCGCATTATGATGACCTGAGCTTCCGGTGATTCTCAGGGAGCAGGGGATCAGGCCGTACGCCACTTGACTGGGACAACCGGATGAAAATCGCATTAAGCGCGGCAAGAGGCCTGGCTCACCTCCACGTGTCGGGAAAACTCGTCCATGGCAAT